GTTTATGGGATGTTAGGACAGGATAATAAAAAGCCAAATTAGATGGTCATTCAAAGGGAATTCTATCAGTCAATTTCTCTCCTGATGGTACTACATTAGCATCAGGTAGTCATGATAAGTCTATCCGTTTATGGGATGTTAAGACAGGATAATACAAAGCCAAATTAGATGGTCATTCAAAGGGAATTCTATCAGTCAATTTCTCTCCTGATGGTACTACATTAGCATCTGGTAGTTATGATAAGTCTATCCGTTTATGGGATGTTAAGACAGGATAATACAAAGCCAAATTAGATGGTCATTCAAATTGTGTGTATTCAGTCAATTTCTCTCCTGATGGTACTACATTAGCATCTGGTAGTTAAGATAAGTCTATCCGTTTATGGGATGTTAAGACAGGATAATAAAAAGCCAAATTAGATGGTCATTCAGGAACAGTTTATTCAGTCAATTTCTCTCCTGATGGTACTACATTAGCATCTGGTAGTTCAGATAAGTCAATCCGCTTATGGGATGTTAAGACAGGATAATAAAAAGCCAAATTAGATGGCCATGAATATGCAGTTACTTCAGTCAATTTCTCTCCTGATGGTACTACATTAGCATCTGGTAGTTCAGATAAGTCTATCCGCTTATGGGATGTTAAGACAGGATAATAAAAAGCCAAATTAGATGGTCATTCAGAAATAGTTACTTCAGTCAATTTCTCTCCTGATGGTACTACATTAGCATCTTGTAGTTCAGATAAGTCTATCCGTTTATGGGATGTTAAGACAGGATAATAAAAAGCCAAATTAGATGGTCATTCAGATTATGTAGGATCAGTCAATTTCTCTCCTGATGGTACTACATTAGCATCTGGTAGTTATGATAAGTCTATCAGTTTATGGGATGTTAAGACAGGATAATAAAAAGCCAAATTAGATGGTCATTCAAATTGTGTTTATTCAGTCAATTTCTCTCCTGATGGTACTACATTAGCATCTGGTGGTGAAGATAAGTCTATCCGTTTATGGGATGTTAAGACAGGATAATAAAAAGCCAAATTAGATGGTCATTCTAATACAGTTTATTCAGTCAATTTCTCTCCTGATGGTACTACATTAGCATCTGGTAGTTCAGATAAGTCTATCCGCTTATGGGATGTTAAGACAGGATAATAAAAAGCCAAATTAGATGGTCATTCAGATTATGTAAGATCAGTCAATTTCTCTCCTGATGGTACTACATTAGCATCTGGTAGTTATGATAAGTCTATCCGCTTATGGGATGTTAAGACAGGATAATAAAAAGCCAAATTAGATGGTCATTCAAATTATGTCATGTCAGTCTGTTTCTCTCCTAATGGTACTACATTAGCCTCTGGTAGTTTAGATATCTTCAATCCGTTTATGGGATGTTAAAACAGGATAATAAAAAGCCAAATTAGATGGTCATTCTAGTTATGTTACTTCAGTCAATTTCGCTCCTGATGGTACTACATTAGCATCTGGTAGTGGAGATAACTCTATCCGTTTATGGGATGTTAAGACAGGATAATAAAAAGCCAAATTAGATGGTCATTCTAATACAGTTTATTCAGTCAATTTCTCTCCTGATGGTACTACATTAGCATCTGGTAGTGAAGATAATTCTATTCGTTTATGGGATGTTAAGACAGGATAATAAATCTTATCCTCAGATAATCGTTATCAAAATATTCTAGCTTAATTTTAACGTTCAATAATTAAAAATAATGTTCTTTCAGAAAGTGGTATTCATCCCCCCTTTACTATTATTTAGTTAATTCTAACGTTACCATCCTTCTAATATCACAATAACTCATATTTTAATCATAAGGTGCTCTAATTTTAAAAGGATAATTTCATATTCCATAAGGCATAGACTTGAGAACTTCTT